AAATTTATATTGATTTTGCTACCATGGTCAAAACCCAGTTCTCTAAAATTATCAAAGTTTTGAGAACTGACAATGCTACTGAATATCTTGGTACTAAACTTCAATCATTTTTGAAAAAACAGGGTACACTGCCACAACAATCTTGTCCCTATACTTCTGAACAAAATGGGCGAGCCGAACGTAAGCACAGACACATCCTTGATTCTATTCGTGCTCTGCTCATTTCATCCTCTTGTCCAGAGCGATTTTGGGGTGAGGCTGCTCTTACAGCTGTTTATCTTATTAATCGCATTCCATCATCAGTCCTTAATAACCAATCTCCATATGAGCGTCTACATGGTATTCTTCCTGCTTATAATCTTCTTAAGGTTTTTGGTTGTGCGTGTTTTGTTCTTCTTCCACCTCATGAACATAACAAGTTAGAACTTAGAGCTCGATTATGCTATTTTTTGGGTTATGGGATTACACAAAAAGGATATCGTTGTTGGGATCCTGTGTCACAAAAACTCCGAGTTTCACGTCATGTTGTGTTTTGGGAACACACTATGTTCTCATCATTGTCAAACTTCAAAGTGTCATCCTCTCATCAACCTCCATTTTTTACTAATCCTTCTATTAAGCTATTTCCTAGTGATTCTAATGCAGGTACATCTGATGAGCTCTACAATGCCTCACCACATGCTCCAACCAGTTTTGTAGAAGATGATCTGCCTGTTGGTAATGCATCAGATAATTTTGAGCCTTCTTCTACTTCCTCGTCTACAAATGAGCTTGTTGTCCCATCCTCGAGTCATCCTACTCGGGTAAGAAAGCCTCCAAACTACCTTCGTGATTATCATTGTTTTCCTGCTGTTACTTCGTTACATGAGCCTCAATCCTATCAAGAGGCCTCTTCTAACCCTCTTTGGCAACAAGCTATGCAAGATGAATTACAAGCTCTTGAGAACACTCGTACATGGGATTTAGTTGATCTCCCTACTGAAAAATCTCTAATAGGCTGTAAATGGGTGTACAAGATCAAAACGCGATCTGATGGTTCTGTGGAGCGTTATAAGGCACACTTGGTTGCCAAGGGTTTTACACAGGAGTATGGAATCGACTATGAAGAGACATTTGCTCCAGTTGCTCGTCTTACATCTGTGCGCAGTCTGCTTGCTATTGCTGCTATATGGAGATGGAAATTGTTTCAGATGGATGTGAAAAATGCTTTTCTTAATGGTGACTTAGAAGAAGAAGTTTATATGAAACCACCTCCTGGGCTCCATCATCCTCCAAACAAGGTATGTCGATTGCGCCGAGCATTATATGGGTTGAAGCAATCCCCTCGAGCCTGGTATGCAAAGTTTAGTGCTACTGTGAGTGAGTTTGGTTTTACTTCCAGTCCACATGATACAGCTTTGTTCATTCGTAAGACTGCT